TGGGAGAGAGGATTAGGATGTCTGTCTCCACACCTTTCTGTCCCTCCTGGGATGCCATACTGTCACTCAGCCCCACGTCCCCTTACAGGGGCACAGATAAGGGACCAAGGAGGAGTGAGCAATTCTATGTTTCTGTGTGTATGTTTGTGTGTGTGTCATGAGGTTGCAGAATGTGTGTGTGTGTCACTGAAGCGGTGACAAGTATGTCGTTGTGCCACCCAGCGAGGAACTTGTCTCCTCCAGGGGGAAGATTAGAGGGAAGGACAATAAGGAGCAAAACACAGACAAACTCCTGTCTTTTGTGGCTTTTTTCTAGGTTCGATTTAATCTGTAGAGTCCAGTAAAGTTTTATAGGATTAAAATGAGTTTATGTAGACAATAAATAGGACAGGATTTAAATTGTGTAGCTTCTACTCAGAGGTATTTTGTTTCTGATCGTTGGCTCCAATGGTGTCACAAATACTTGCTCTTCAAAAGCCGTGGAAAATGGCCCACAGTTTCTCATAAATAGCTTTGGACAATTTATAACTGCCTTTTTCATTTAGTGATCAGCCTGAATAGAACCAAATGACTCAGCGTTACACATGCGCAAACATTCTACACAATACCTTCTGAGCTGATGAACAGTGAATTCTAGCATTTTAGGTCATTGCATGTTTTCATATACTGTATGCGGCAGCTGAATCTAAATATTTGTATCATAGAGTCACCTTTACATCTGTCTTTTAATATTATAGATTGAAGCAGTTAATTAGAAAATAAACACAATGCTAGAATTCAGTACATCTGCTTTGCTCCTATAAAGGTCACCTTTTCATAGTTTGGATAATTATAATCACTTTTGCTGTCAATCAGATTTGTAAGGAATTTATTTTTCATCAAAACAAAAGACATGATAAATGAAACATAGTGGGAGCAAAGATAATTTCAAATGAGCGCAACTGTAATCATCTTTTCATCTCTGGGCGGTTAGAGTGCCAGATAGACCTCTTTGTATCTTTGAAATGTTGTGTCACAGACTGAATTTTTTTCTCAAAAAGCCCTTGAGACAAAAAAACTCAGTACTCAGATACTTATAGCATGTATGTGATTCTTTATCTCCATTACCTCTCTTAATGCATCCTTCAAACTGCTTGTGTTGTCATGTGATCTATCTGCAGCAACATCTGCGGCTGCCACACAGGTCTCAGCGGTGACCAGCGACTCAGCCGGCTCCTCGTACTCTATCAGTGGCATTCTGGGTATCAGTTCAGCTGCTGATGTGGGCAAGAGGAAGAGGGATGAAGGTGAGCACAAAACGTTTGCGACCTAGTGACCATCTATGTCTTCACAAATCAGCGTATTGTTTGCTGCAAATGGCATGTTTCCAAATATGCCAGCGTTCCTACACCTACTACTCACATACAGTATACACACATTCAAATGCACATTTACGTATAAATACCAACATACATTAACATGTTATATATACAGCTTAGGACCCTCTCCTCTTCATGATGGTATGGAAAGCCCAGATAGAAAGAATTCAGCCTGAGGACAAAAAGCAAGCTCCCATAATGTAAATGATTATATTTAAGAATGAGGACTTTAGAAGAAAGATACAGTAAGTCTCCCAGATATGAATAGATGTCAGTGTAAAGCCTCCTGCAATAACTGGAACACAACTGGATTGTGTGTGTGTGTGTGTGTGTGTGTGTGTGTGTGTGCAATGTGGGAGTTTTAAACCAAATGTTTTAATTCAGAAATCCCTGTTTGTTGACTAACGATGCTTCATTGGGGAGCTACCAAAGCAGTTTATGCATGCACTATTGATCATATATGCTGTCACATCAGATCAATGTTGTGTGCATGTTAATAGAGGTGTGAGCGTGTGTATGCCTGTGCACATACAGGGATTCTCACATGAATTGTATATATACATGAATGTGCATGTGGTTGTGCATAAATGCTTGCATGATTGTGGGTGTGTATGCTTCAATGTCAGTGGCATTAAAAAGCCATCACAGAGTCTCCTACGGTAAATGAGACAGGACCAGATGTTGGAGCGAGGGGGGGTGACAGAACGCCACTGGGGGCTATTTCTTTTTCAGTCTCACTGCCTGCCCTCTCTCTTGAACAGGCACACATACAGTATGGGGTCCTTTACTCTCTGCTAATGCTTTTCCAAAACATTCCGGGAGGTTCCAGGATGAATCCCAGGTGAATCTTGAGCATTCTGATATACTTAGATACAGACCACTTATCCATCAGCACAGGGTTTTTAGGATATAACTTAAATGTCTGTTGAAACAAGAAAGGTGGTGGAAGATAAAAACTGAGCTTTGTGAAGCAATGAGGAAACCTCAAATTAATACATGAGGACAAATGTCATATTTCCACAGTTTCATTTGTTCCAGGTTGTATTGGCAGGTCTTTGAACAACATCTTCTTCTGCAAACGTTTAATCTCACCTGACAAAGCTTATTTTGATGCATCCTGCTCCTGATATTTCCATGTATGGATGGTAAGGAGCAGGAATTTGCTCTTTCATTTGATTTTTTTACTTGAAATGTTAAATGTGCATAAAGTTTTTACACAAGTATATCAGCTACTCTTGAATTAGAGCAGAGCACTTTACAGATGTTTAGCACTGACCTACAATCGTCCCTTTCACAGCTGACATTTTGACCTTTTGTAATTTAGAATGAGAATCACAGCTCTAACTCATAACATTAATGATCGCACTATTTCATTTAGGTGTTCTTGTTCTAGGGCTACTGTGCCTGCTGGTTCACCGAGGAGCCATCTTTGTCTGCTATAATAGGTCAAAATGTGTGTGAAATAGGTTTATCAGGGGTTTCATTTTCATATGATGTCATACTGGAAAGAATGACTCATGTACTGGGGAATTACACTAATTTATCCCACACTATTATGGATGCTCTAATATCTGTGGCAAAGACTGTGGTCAGATCCATAGTTTAAGTTCAGTAATGTAATTAGCAGCATTATTGTTTCACTTTACACATGTGCTACATGTGTGGTCTCTGTTGTTTACTATGACTGGACCTTGTGCTTCATAATTCATATGGAAAACAATGTCTCACTTCACGTTTCACTGAAGCATCCAGAAAGTGTCATTTAAGCACCCTGTCGCTCCGCGTCACGTTTTGCTCGTGTGCTTTATCTGCGGTGTTTCCGTGGCAGAGGTCTGCGCAGTTGGCTCTGTGGTCTAATTAACAGCATTGCTAATCACAGCTTCCATTAGAGCAGCCCCCGCTGGATAATGACACACGCACACAGCAAGAGGTGATGGGGGGGGGGAACAGCATGCACTGATAGCATGCACTGACATGGACAGACAAACACTAGCACACAATAATGCACATGTTTCACATCTATGCAGACATTTGTAATCACGCAGAAGGAAAAAGACAAACGCGCTCAAGTCACACACAATTCAACAGTCACACAGAGTTCTCTTGGTGACGCTGTCGTTATATCTGTTTCTCTGTGCATACATTACATATGCAGTAATGAGACAGAGTGAACCTCAGTGTATTTCATGTACCTTAGCGCATTTAACAAGGTGCATACCTCAGCTTTCCATGTATGAGGCACTTAAAAGCTTGATAAAAGGAGTGAACAATGCTTTATTTTCCCCCATAACAACTTCAGGATAAAGGTGGTGCTCCAGTGGTACCTTGATTTATTTGCAGCTAATAGACTGATGTGTTGAGCAGGAAGCCTTTTGTCAATTCAGTGGCTGAATATGAAATTCACCAAAAATAATCAAGACATGAGATGATTCTTTTTGAACTTGAGTTCCACCTTTTTTCCTGACTTTGGTTTGGGGAAACAAGCGCATTGCATTTTTTATAAACCAGGGTTGAGCAAGTCTGATCCACAAGAGCCATCTTAGGTGAAGGTGGAGTGAGGAAAGACAAAATGAATTGATATCTTCCAGCTTCTGATTGACTGAACACACCTGATCCAGGTAATCAACAGTGGGTAGGGCAGGGATAGTTGGAAAAAAGCAGGCCAGTATCTCTTGGGGACTGGACTTGCCCACCCATTATAAACCCTTTCTATAACAGGTTAATGATGGCTGAATTAGTTTTGCCTGTTCCGTTACCATTGTATCATACATGGTGGTTCACTGAAGAGAATGTGTCGTAATTCATCATATCATCATAATACTGCTGGTATACAGGAAGTCTCGTATTGCTGCTGTAACTTATGAGCATAGAAATGACAGCTGTGCAAGTAGTGGGAACACAGGAGGGCAAGATCAGTAGCATGTGTGTGTATCCATAGCAGGAGTGTGTGGGGGTAAAGCCCCATGGTGACCTGTGCCCCCAGCCAAAGCAAGGGGAAGTTGGGGGGTGACTGCGGGCGGAATGTAAATGAATGGTTTTGAATGGAAGAACTTGACTTGTGGGGCCAAAAGGGGACACAGGGAGACTGGTATGTGTGCGCCTGAGCAAGCGTGTACACATGCAACATGGATACGGTGAGCAGGACAGGTGGGCCAGTTACTGAAGAAAACATTTTTCTGTGAAAAGCAATCTCAATACATTTGAAGGAAAAACAGAGGCAGTGGTTGTTCAGAACCTTCTTTTGCATGAAGAAGTAGTCTCAGTGGCATTTACCCACAATGCCAAGTTGACCTCTCACCCCCCTGTGCATTCACTGTGACATGCAGCAGCTTATCAGATAAAAGACGCTGGGAGTAAGCAAGCGATGGAGGCCGGAGAAGAGGAGGGGGTCGTGCTCCGCCCTGTACCCTTAGTTTCTCTCAGTGTCTCCCGCCCCTGAAAACTTTGATCTCTGGAGTTAAGATTGGGCACGCACATGCACACACATAAACACAAATGCACAGGTTGGGGCTGTGAGGTCAGACTTATGACCCTTGTCTTATCAATATGATAATCTAAGTGCAAAAACATGCACACTGGTGGTATCCTGCTCCCTGTGGACACACACACACACACACACACGTAACAAACAGGTGACAACTCATCTAACTCTCAAAGGATTTAATAATTCAACTGCTGGGTTGTGGAAAAATGGCATCAGCAGGCTGAGTTGGAGAAACGATGATGGAGAGAGCAAGAACCAGGAGGGAGGGAGAGAGATAGAGACTGAGAGAAAGCAAAAGAGAGCAACAGAGGAGGCGGAAGAGAGAGGAAAAAGGCAGAAAGGAGAGAACAATAAGGGCTCATTGTTTGTTTTGTTCTGCTCTGAAAAAGAGGGAAGAGAAGCGCTTCCCTTCTGAGACTGACTCACAGAGATAGAGGCAGCTGTGAGAGTGTGCATATGTGTGTGTGTCTGTGTGTGTGCGTGTATCCGACAGTGAATAGGATTTAACCCGTCACGGCAATGAGTTTCTTTACCCATCCATGGGTACAATGAGAGGAGCCGGATATCAAGCTATCCACCCACCCACATCCACACCAAGACACACATCTAAGCAAACACACATACTCATACACATGAATGGACAATATTGATTATCAGAAGTAAAAGCTTTGTTCTTACAGCTTGATTACAGTAGATTTAGTTTTCCCCTTTGGTCTCCATCTTTGTCTGGTCTTTTGTGGGTGCTTCTGTTGGCTTGGGTCAGTCTTTCAGGGTGTATTTGTGTGTGTGTGACAGAGAAAAAGCAAAAAGCAATAAGCTGGCTGAAATGGTGCCATCAGAGCTACATGATTGATCAATTGAATTCCATCATGGGGACTGGCCGGTGGGATTAAATGGGTCGCTGTGGGTTACCAGGCTAAAGCATCATACCGGCTTTATCTCCCCCCGATTGGTCTGTCACCAGAGACCTGGACCATACACCCACACAGCATCTGTGTATGAGTGTGTGAGAGACTATAAGGGAGAAAGAAAGATTATGATCAAGGAGTGTGTTTGTGAAAGTCTGGCTGTAAAAGGGTTTTGTGTACTGAAAAGATATAGTGAGGTTTTGTGAGTTATGCAGCACTGTGAGAGAGTGAGGGTTTTTTTCTAGCAGCAAGATTTGAGATTTACTAGAAATATCTGAAACAACCCAAAACCACTCTTTGTGCCAGTGTACCAGACTTAGATGTATCATTATACAGAGTTATCAAATGTTATGTTTCATGGGCATCACCTTTGAGAGGTAATCACTCAAGCCTGGGAAATGCAGATAAGTTTAGTGACACAAATTAATACTCTTGGCCATTTCTTGCTCAGGTTTGCCCCACCATATATACACCATAGTCATGCACATATATAACACTCTTGTCTA